GCAGTCCATTAAAAATGTTTCTAGGTGAGGGCTGCATGATTCCTTTAACACTGTGACATCCTATCATTACATCATTGGGGCTTATACTGAAAGTGTGCATGTGCATGCTTTGGTTAATGTCCTCACCAGTCTGTTTGTGAAGCTGCTGAAGTCCCTGACCATCACCTGTCTGAGCATGTCAGGGTCCGCTATCACCACCACCGGTCTCCGGCCCAAATAATACCTAAAATATACCAAGTGGAGCCAACAATCTTAGTGTTGCTATAACAGGTTTTTACCAAGCAAGTGTTTATTTCATTTTATAGTGTGGAAGAATTAGAACCAACAACATGTTCGGACCATCATTTCATCAGATGCTGATGCAGAGAATACTTCTTCTACTTACCCACAAACTCTGCCATGAGTCTTTATGAGATCATTGATCGGGTTGAAAAAACCCTGAAAATGAAACAAAGAACATCACAACATATAACACATAACATCCCAAAACATCAGAAAGGAACCAGAGAAGCTCTTCATAAGAACGAAATAACTCCATGTTAGAGACGGATTGGTATTTGGGCTGTTGTCTTAATGTAAATTATAGAACGAGGTAACAGTATGACAGTCAATCAGCTGTATGACTCTGTGGGAGCTGCATATATGCTAGTTTTTGTTAGCTTACTTGTTAATCAAAAGCCCTGCCTCATTTCAAGATACTGAAACTTGCTTGATAAATGTCTGTAGTGGGAGCTACAGGGGCCATGGCCACCTTGTTTGATGACTAAATCACATCAGGATGTGCTGTGCAGAGACACATCTGTATACCATAAACACCTGGAATATCAGTGTTTAATGTTACATAAAAACAGAGATGATCTTTAACTAAGAAGTAATTCTCTTTCAGCTTTCTATATTCTTGAAAAATAAGAATATTATTCATCCATTAGACATATATTATTGATCAAGTAGTAAAATTATATTTTCCCTCTGTAAAACACAGCACAGAACAAACTTTATGACCTTGTCACTTTAGCAGGCTGATATGGAACAAAAGTAAAACACGATGCAATCATTAACACATTGATCTATGTGCAGCAACATGTCGTAGAAAAGTGGAGGTCACATGACTGCTGGATTGGGGCGCACAGGAGCAAGCTCCCTGAAGCAGCCACAGGTGTGCTAATTGGTCAGCTGACACAGGTGCACTGATTGCCCCGAGTTCGTTCACTGTTTGCACTTTGATTGAAGAGGTTCCCTTTGTCCCTGAGTGAGTAGTCTGTGCCATTTTATTCTGACATTATTATTGTTATTATATATTAAAGTAGGGATGTATTGATGTAACGATTTGATAGTTAATTGATTTTTGCATTCAAGTGAATGTGATAGAATTTAATTTGTACTCTTTTAATCGTAGAAATTAAACCACTTCACTACACCTTAATCCAACTGAAGAGAATAAATGCTTTCAAATGGAACCTGCTGAATGTTTCTTCTTCTGCTTTCATAGCAATTAAATATAGTTCAGTGCATTCCTGTAAGACGATGTTGTTCAGTGGGTAAAATGTCTTGTTAAAATCAGTTTTTAACAGTAGTTAAAGATAAAAAAAAAAAAAAAAAGGTTAGAGACTGAGGTGTTTCTTAGTTTGATGGCAATTGCAGCAATATCTTACCTGGCGAAACATGAATATGTTGCCCAAGAAAGGTACTGGCTTTGGATGTTTGATTCCACATCGAGAAAGGACTGAATAGGGGTAAATTGAATACCTTGAAGACAAAGAGTGGAGTTGTGTTGATGGAAAAAAGAAATAAAGCAAATGCATCCCCAAATAATCCTGCCATTGGTTTATAATCAGTCTTTTGAGATACTCCTTCAAGGGCTTCCCCATAAAATGCTATCAGAAAGCCCAACATGCCAAACCGAATGAGGACTGTTGTGAATATCTGAAGTTACACAAAACGTGTCTTATATATTAGTAGATAACTTAACTTCATTTCCGTGATGCAGCTTCACAATCGGGGATAAAAAGCATTTACTTACCAGTAGAGAAGACCCAGAAAGACGAGGAAGAGGCTGAGTGTCACAGACAGTCCGCTGGCCACATTTAGGACGTCAACTAAAGCCTCCATAGTGTAAAAACTCCTCAGTTCTCCACTGCCAGCATTAGATCAAGGCTCCTTAAAGACAAGAAGGTAAAACGGAAAATGATCAGGTCAGTGTAAAAGCTGCTGTTTACCACATGTTAGTCAGCAGTACAAGTAGATCATCTACAAACTATTCCTGTTCTGTGAGTTAGTTGTATCGTAGTTTCTCAGTATCATGGCTGAACATGTAGACCACATCTTTCATACTAGTTCAACAGAGGAAAGACAAAGACTGCATCTCTTTGTGGACTATGCTCTCAGGCTGGTTTGTCTCCTATTGATGAGTTTCTAAGACGACTTGTAAAGTATTTGTTTTCGCAGTTGTGTCTGAAGAGTGCTCACCTTTCCCCTCATTTTAACAATGGGGGCATGTCTACTCTTCCTGTGTTTGGCACAGATGCTGCGTCTTAAACCTCTTAACGAGCCACAGTTTAACAGTAACGTTACCTAAAGCACACGCTCTTAAACAGCTAACCATACATCTTATCTTTATTCCAGTTGAAATGCATGTTTAAAACCCCAAAGACAGACTGTAGGTCATTTGTGATGCTCGGCTACTGACGCAGGCTACAACAAAACATCGCGTTCGTCTCTTTGCTGCCCGTCGTGTATGATCATGTACCATGGCAGCGCCTTTATTAGATCTGGAGAGAGTTGTTACTGGAACAAAAGGACGTGAGTGCGCTTACCTAATAGTCCCTTCACTTGTCCATGTTATCATGACGTCCTCTTCGTGCTGTTAGTAGGTCGCAACCCAAAAGAAAGCTGAGGCGCATACTGCCACCCACTGTATGGGAGCGTATAGCATCCAACACGAGTTTACTGGTGCTTGTATACAAGAATACAGAAACAAATAAAATATATGAAATATAATATTGGCGGAGCACATACTAAATACAACTATGTGCGAACTGTATTATCCAGTGGAGGGATCAGCAGGACCTTGATCTAGCGCTACTTGCATCATGCCTGGTCTGCAGAGTCTTCCTGGTTCGTCCTGCTGAGCTCTGTCTTTCCAACCTCCGAATTGGAGAAGTTGGAGATGTTCTCGTATGACGGCAACTCACTGTCAAAATCCGAGAGCGCAAATTAGATCCGCGCGCGTGTGTAGAGATTAAACAGACACGTATTTTACTTTGACGAGCGCTCTCACATTACTCCGATGTCGCGAGCAGAAAAGCGCTATAGGGGACGCCCCTCGCGCTGAAAGCATTTGTTTTCTCCTCTCAGGCTGCAATTATGTGTGTGATATTTCCCGATCAAGGTTGTGAAGAGCAATACAACTTACATGTATTTCTCTCGAGTCCTGGATTTCTTTTATGTTCTCGCAGATATGAATGAGATATGGTTGGAGGAATGAGACGTGGTCGGATAAACGCGCCTTGGTTGGATGAATGAGACCTATATATAGGCTGCCTTGCATTGCATATTTTAGAACGAATCCAGCACATTTAAGACATTTCTTCCAACTTGTTGTTTTGCACCGCTATAGCAATGGCTCATGAGCAAGTGTGAGTATTTCTTCTTCTTATTCTTCTTTTATTTATTTCGTTGACAACTACGTGTTTTGTTTTAAAACCAGGATTGTTTTTAAAGTTTGTCATCATTAGATCTCATTCGGGGGTATATCAGTGATGACGATACTGAAAACATCGCTCCTGTTCCTGTGTATGGTAAGTATTTAGGTTAGTGTTTAAATACTTTTTACTCTATTTTTACGAAAGTCTATTTATTTATTTCAATGCATATCATATTTCATATCACCACAAAAACAGCGTCCTAGCAGTGGTGCCGGGACCAAGCGAAAAAAAACAGCTGGGCAGAAAGCCAAGAGATTGAAAACTTGTGTGTGTGTGGGTGTGTGTGTGGGTGGGTGGGTGGGTGGGTGGGTGTGTTTGAATCCTGTTCTTTTTCCACTAGAGAATATTCATTTATTTCATTGTAAATACTTATAGATATCAATTCACCCAAACCTGGGAGATTATCATTAAAGTTTAAGAGGGCTGAAAAACTTGCGGAGGAAAAGAGGAAAAAAACGAAAAGGTATGTGTTCATTAAAGATTAGTTTAATTATTTAATTTGCAATGGTGTTTTATGTATGTATGTGTGTGTATATATGTATATGTGTGTATGTATGTGTATGTGTGTATATGTATATGTGTGTGTGTATATATATATATATATATATATATATATATATATGTGTCTGTTAACGCGCGATAAAATAATTGTCGGCGTTAATTAATTAATGCGTTAATGTGATAATAATGCGTTAACTTGCCCAGTACTAATTTATATATATTTTACTATTTTCTTTATCAGGGTGCTGACTGAGAGGGCACAGCCAAACGAGGCACTACCCGGAGCGCCACTTTGTGATGAATTGTCTATAGCTGTTGAAGCGCTCCTCAAGCTCCTCAAAGCGGAGACCTCATCAGAGGATATTAATGCACAGACCGTCAAAGTACCAGCATTGGCGTTTGTGAACCATGGTGCCTCGGTGTGCGTGCCCGAGACTGAATTAGTCGAAGCTGTTGCATCAATGGAGGTCGCCGCCGTTCGGCGACAGCGGCTGGGACTGGAGGTCGCTGCCGTTCGGCGACGGCAGCTGGGACTGGAGGTCGCTGCCGTTCGGATCAAGTCTATGGGGTTTCGAAACCTCCTACCGTGGCTGAATCATCCAACCAATGTTAAGCTTATGGGGTTTCGAAACCTCCAACCTTGTTGTTTGTGAACATCCGGGAACGCACACCAGTCAATATTAATATGCATGCATCTTCTCTTCCCATCAGGTGGCTCCTCTCTGAATTCAGACGGCTTTGCTGAATGTCCACTCCCTCGGCTCATCGAATCAAGAGGGGAACTGCACTCGAGAGGCTGGGGATCAAGAGGGGAACTCTTGAGGAGGTCGCTGCCGTTCGGCGACGGCGGCTGGGACTGGAGGTATATATTGTGCAATACATGTATATGCAAGGCATTTTAAGCTACATTGTTCTATTTGTATTGTATATCGCATTTGTTATACGCACTACTCTTACATCACCACATTCAGAATGACAGTTTTATGAAAACATTGCTGGATAAGTGGTCACAGAACACAGTAAAAATTGCATAAAGCTTCCTTTGACAAATCACTGCCGATCAGGGCAGGGAGGTTATTGATCTTCTGTCTCTACTGATAATTTCTCATATGTGGGACACTAGATGTAGCCTATTGCTCATGTGCAGGAGCATAGAGGCCCAATCTTTCACTTATAACCACCTCTTAAAATTTAAGCTCCTGGATATTTGTGTAATAACCACTGGAAAAGGAAAGCTGTCGCCTGTGTAGACAAACTGTCCTCCCCAGACCTGTGTTGAAAGAGAACAGTGCTGGCTGATTTGGGAGAGAAAGTGTCGGGCAGAACAACCCACCCCTTCGGTGAAGGATGCAGTCGGCCCCGGGCTGTGGAGTGTGATTTCTGCTGAAAGCTGTCACGTCCTTCCTGGTGTGTCTGGCTTCTTACTGATCTACTCACTTGTAGCCGCATATGTGTCTGCTGCTGTCAAAAGGCACAAGCTATTGGAAGTCTCTGCCTCCTTACAATAGAAGATCTACTCTTAGCATGAGAAGCTGCTTGATGATTATTGTTGCAGTGATGGACAATGCATTTGCCTGCTTTGTGTGATGGATGAACACAAAGGTCGAGACACGGTGTCAGCTACAATAGAGAGGAAAGAGAAACAAGTAAGAATAATTAGAAGACAAGCCTCAGCTAGGATGTCACCAAGGTAAAGGGCCTCCACTTTCTGGTATAGTTTTGTGTGTGTGTTTGTTAAACACCAGCGCTTGATCATTGCTCATTATTTGATTGTATTCCATAAAATGGTAAAACAAATGTCGAAATTTCAAGAAAAAGGCTGATGTTTATAATGGCACAGGTGGCAAAGTATTTTTGTGTGTATGTTACATGTTTCTTATTCTGTAATGTAAACTCAGCTTTTTTTTAGTAGAATTATTGTAATAAATGGAAAAGATGGAAAGCTCATACAGAATTTTTTTGAATTATTTTGTTTGTGAAAATGAAATGAAGAGAGAGAGTACTACAGTTGTCTGTTTAAACCCATCTCAGTTTCGTCAGATCTGTTTTATAGACAGACTGATATCTGGCAAACTTTCTCTCTGTTGCTGTCACCTTCTAATTGTGCCATCGAAACACCTTTTCAAATCCTACACACCAGGGGTTAAATAGGTTTTGTAAATGCATTTTAAATTTTATATATTTAAACCTACAATAGATTTTTTTTTTTATCACTCACTAATTTTAAATACATAAAATCATATGTATTTTTGAAAATATAATGTAACGCTGTATTATCTAATTGTTTTTTAAAAGACATCTTGTAAAAGGGTAGCGTTGCCACGGAAAAAGTTTGGCAACTCCTTTGATAGATTGCTAGTTGCCAAATTGCACATCCAGCTGACAAGGACCAACATTACCATTCATTAGTCATCAATCATGTTTCTGGTTACTTGATGAATATAAGTCCAGTGTTCACTTTATTTTGAACACTATTTGGATCTCCACCAACTCTTGAGGGAAATATGTGTTCACCAGCTATTTGTTAACTTTATCTGTTAAAGGCAGCAGATAGCCTGCATTTTTTACTTTTTATTTGAAAACAGCTGCTGTTGCTGGAAATTAAGTTCATGCCAGTAAAGTTGCAGGTCGTTAAACAAAAACCAAAAGCTGAAAGACACCAAAATGTTCTGTGGAGCACAAGAGGACAGCAGTCAGATACTATTCTGTGGATTCATCACAATGTATGACAATGCAAATATTGATTAGATATTAGCTATAAATAGTTTTTTTTTTTTTTATAAGCAATATACTGCAATGTGTGATTACAACAAATCATTGAGTAACGTTGCTTTGACTCAAGTTTGAAAACTCTTAATGTTTGACTCTGATAGTGGAGTGACTTTGTTCTACTCAGAAACTCACAGACCAGTCAGCACATGTGCGTTACCAAGAAGCCACTCCTCCTCCAGAGAAAGCGAAAGTAACTCCGTCAGTCTGAGCGGGAGAACAATGGCGTGCAGTCCGGATTTGTTCGACTGCTCCATCTGTTTACAGATACTGGATGATCCTGTGACGACGGCCTGTGGACACAGTTACTGTACACAATGCATCAATGCCTTCTGGGATGTGTATAATAACAGAGGAAAGAGTTACAGCTGCCCTCAGTGCAGGCAGACATTCTCCCCCAGGCCTGTCCTGAAGAGGAACACACTTCTGGCTTCCCTGCTCGAGGAACACAAGAGGAAAAAAAGTCAAAATGATGCTGCTGCTGCTGTATCTGTTGCTGCTGCTGACACCTATGCTGCACCTGGTGATGTGCAATGTGACGCCTGCACAGAGAGAAAAAGAAAAGCTTGGATGTTCTGTCTGGTGTGTTTGGCCTCTTACTGCGAGACTCACCTAAAGCCTCACTTTGAGTTGCCACCACTACAGAAACACAATCTGATTCAAGCCTCTGCATGGATCAAAGACAGCATCTGTGGCCGTCATGGCAAACTTCTGGAGATCTACTGCCGCTCAGATCAGCAGTTCGTATGCCTGCTGTGTGTGATGGATGACCACAAAGGTCATGACACGGTGACAGTTGCGGCAGAGAAGTGTGAAATGCAGGTAATTCAGTTTACCCCATGCTCAAGTCATTTTTTATGTCACTGAGGTTCTGAAAAAGATCCTGGATTTGTGTTTCAACAGAGACAACTGGAGCGAGGTAAACAGGAAATTGCAGACAGAGTGCTGAATTCGGAGAAGAAAATGGCAGAGCTGAGGCAGTCTGCAGACTCTATAAGAGTGAGTGCAAACAAAAGTACTTCTACTACTATTCATGAATATATTTCTTTACTTTCAAAATCCTGATACAAAGAAAGTCAATGTACACATTTGCTGTTAACGGACAGATAAAGAAACGAGAAAAAGGGTGTGAACTGTGGGCAACAGTGGAATTTCACTTATCTCTGTGCACATATGTTTGACAGTGAAGAATGATGACGATATTAAGCCTCTGACACACTTATATCAATACTGAAAATGAAATAATAAAAAAATAAAAAATAACAGGCTTGGTGCATGCAGACTGTATATTTACCATTCCAATACCTATACTTATATCACATTATTCAGTTTACCAGAAAAAGATTTAGTATGTCCCCGTTCATAGTATGTCAAAAATACCAGGACTTTTTGCAGTATGCAATCCAGCATGTTTTTCTGGCTATTCTGACCCACAATCCTTTGTGCAGCAGATATATGAGGAAGAGGGTCAAAGTTCAAGGTGCCATGTTATGACGAGGTAGTATATCTCATTGAATGCATTCTGCATGCAACACTACGTACTCTGTAAAGGCAGCTGCAGTACGTACTACCAGTAAAAAGAAAAGGGATGCGATCGGGAACGCAGCTAGAGACACCAGCAGGAAGAATGGCTGAAGTAATCTTCCCTGCTGATGCCCAAACTATTTGGCTTGTGACCTCTTATGAGCTTGCGTTCTTGCCAAGAGTTAAACAATAACATTGATATAACTCTCATGTATTTCTGTTAAATATGAAGCTGCAACCAGAGGCTGGTTAGCTTAGCTTAGTTTAGCATAAAGACTTGGAACAGAGGGAAACATCTAGCCCTAACTGTGGTTTTACTTGTAGTCATGTGTGAGACTTTCTGAAGTCTATGCGTCCCTGTGAGGTAACGAGGCAAGCAGTGCTGACACCAGGCTAAGGCTCCATGCTCAGCTAAGCTAACCGTCTCCTGGCTGTGTCTTCATATTTGCCAAATAGACATGCTAGTGGTATCGATCTTCTCCTTTAACTCCAGGCTAAAAAGTGTACACCCCAAAATGCAAACTACTCCATTTAAATTATATATTTATATTTTAGATTGTTATACTTGAATAATCATCATTGACCTGAGGAGGTAAAAAAACATTTGTCTGGAGTGTCCAGACCCCTAGGTTGGGAACCACTGACCTAGACCACTATTACAGGCTTTAACAAAATGTCAAGTGTTTGACATGTGTTTTTTTTTAATATTGCAAAAAAAAACTGTAAAAGAATTCCAGTTACTTATGATATGCTGCATAATAACTTAAGGGAGTTTAAAGTAGCCCAGTTTTTTGGAAGTATGCTGTAACTCAAAATAGTCATCAATCATAACAGGACAAATGTTGACTGTTTCCCATACAAGGATGCCGCATGGGGGGCGTGTGATGACCTTGAGCGACTGTGTGTTGAGCGCATCCGTTTATTCGTCCGCTCTGTGGAGAGGAAGCGCTCTGAGATGAGAGAGAGATTTGGAGAAGCAGAGAAAGCTGGAGTGGACTGGACCAACAATCATCTCGGCCAACTGGAGCGTGAAGTGTTGGAGCTCAGGAAGAGAGAGGATGAACTCCACCAGCTCTCACTGACAGAGGACCCCATTCAGTTTCTGCAGGTGATTACATGTTTACAGTCTTAGAAAGTATAGAACGATTTGTATCTAATTTTTGCCGCTTAATTAAAAGAAAATGTTTTAGTCACACAATGTATTTGTTGGCCCTGTGCAGGGTTTCCAAGCTCTGGGTGGCCTCCCTGTGTTCACAGACTCACATGAAAGACTGACAAAGTTTACCTCCGCACAAATGGATAAACTGAAAAATATGTGCAGCAAAGAAAAAGAAGAATTATTCAGTCACTCTGAAGAAAATCTGGGTAAGTAAGACCAGAATCGGATCTCTAAACCTGATAATTAAGTTTGGTCTAGTCTGTGTATTTCCTGTTATTATATAGACAGAATCATCAGTTTTTTTGTTTTGTTTCATCAGTGTCAAAATGGCCAAGTTTGCATGAGGAAAGAACATCAAGGACATGCCTTTTGAACACATATAAGAGTAAGCACAATGTTAATTCACTTTGCACAAATATCAAACGTGAAAAGATTCCCCAGCCAAATGAATGTTTCATCTTTCCCTGCAGACTTCACAGTGGAGGTGGATCCCAACACAGTGGCTGCATGTCTTTGCTTGTCCGACAAAAACAGAGCGATATCGTGGAGTGACAGGGACCAGGCTCATCCTGATCTCCCCGACAGATTCACCTTCTATCACCAGGCGCTGTGCAAAGTGGGCCTTGAGGGCAGCCACTACTGGGAGGTGGAGTGGGATGGTGGCATTGTCGACTTGGCCCTGTCCTACAAAGGCATCGAAAGAAAGGGTTCAGGCAACGGCTGCTGTTTCGGCCACAATGAGCTCTCCTGGAAATTAACCTGCTCCCCATCCGGCTGCACATTTTGGCACAATAATCTTCACAAAGGCCAGATTCCTCCAGTTCTCTCTCGCAGAGTGGGCATACACCTTGATTACGAAGCAAGAACACTGGGCTTCTACAGTGTTTCTGGCTCGGACAGTTTGACACAGCTGCTCCAAATCCAGACCACCTTCACTGAACCTCTCTATCCTGGGTTTTCTGTTGATTTAGGTTCAACACTGAAAATATGCAAAATCTAAGCCAGTTTGTATTAAAACATGTTGGCCACAAGAACGTCTTCCATTCATGAATCAGGGATGGGAAAAAAAGCGCAAGAGTAGTACAATTATGAAGATGTGCAAAGTTAAGCATATTTGTGTGTGCGTAAGTTAGAGACGTGTATGCATCGATATTCATTACAACATACAGTATATGAGAATCTTTGTTGTGAATCAAAGAGTGGAAAATGGAAATTTCTTCTGGTATATTTTGCACTTTTTTACTCTTAAATGTTCTTAAATACATTATCAAAATACCTTGTTTTATCACTGATAAGAGACAACTTATATGAGGATAAACCATATTTCTTATTCTGTTCTTTATGCTCTATAATGGAATAATGTTCCCTCAAGCCTAAGTTTATCAAATCACAGCACATCTTCAAAGGGGCCATGAAAAGATTGTTTCTCAGTAACTTGTAACCTGATTTTAGTTATGAAAATATCTTGGAACATATCGGCTGTTTTGTCTTTGAGTTTCATCTTTTTGACGTGTTGCTTGTTGTATGTTGGAGGACCACAATGGAAATAAGCCATTTAAGATTTGTTGTTTTAATCATTGATGTTTATTTTGTACTTTTACTTATCAAACAAAGCAAACAAGTAAATCAAGCAGAGTGTATTTGTTCTAGTTTAACAGACTCAAATAAAGGACCATGCTAATGACATGTCTGTCATTTATTTGATTTAATGTGCTAATATTTACATTCAGTGTTTTAAATATGATTTGCAAATGTATCTCAACATAATTCACTCATTTACAGGTCATTTTCACAAAATTCAAATAACGGTCCACAGTTACAGTCTGGGACATGTTCAATTACATGCATAATTAATTAATTACATTATGATTGTAAAAACAACATAATTATGTTAATTCCAAATACTATATATATATATATATATATATATATAGTTCACAATTTCTCAAGTCATAGACTTTAACATAGTAACATGCAGCGCCAGCGCCACTAACAGCAGATATAATAATGAAGGTGGTCATAAAATGGATTCAACAGAGTGGTTTGTGTAGGAGCAATCCACAGTGTCGTAGAAGCGCAGACAGGCCTTGTAATGCAGCAGCTTCTCAGTCAGAGGGCTGATGGTCAGTGCCTTACCCTGCACAGTCAGGTCTTTGTACCTGGTCAGCATCAGTGAGATGAGAATGACAGTGTTTGTTATGCAAAATTAATAATCTAATTCAACTTGTATTCCACATGTTTTTATGTATTATATGATCTGTAGGCCTACCTGTTAGACACGCTCCAAAACACAAAGGTATTTACAGCCATCAGTGTGGCCAGGAGGAAGAAGAACCTCTCCAGATTCCCATCATGCAGTATGTTTGGGTAGAAGTTACCTGTAAACGGGTGCCAACGTGGTCCTATCAGCATCAGTAGCATCGTTTTTTCAATCAAATTCCTGTGTCAATGTAATTTGTTATTGGTAGAAAACAGGCAATGCAGTATTTGTACTCATTTTACCTCCAGAAAGAAAGAACACCAGCTGAATGATGAAGGCTCCCAGAAAGCAGCCTCCTCCATAGGACAGGGTGAGGAAGTGCAGGGAGATCCCTCTGATGTGGCTCGGGGTCAGCTGGAAAGATATGAGGGAACCTGCCAGAGAGGAAGTGACAGCATAAGCGTTCGATCATCTTTCCTGCTCTTTATTTGTAACATACAGGGCAGCATTTCTGACCGGGGGAAAGTCAAATGCCTTTTTGTGCCAATTTGTGCTAATTTGATAAATCAGAAGTTTCTGGGCAATATGCACCATGTAAGACCTGCATCAAGTGAAATTATGGAGACCTTGAGTCTGTCACATACATGCAGGAGTGACGAGAGCCTCTGCGAGACCAAGCAGGATGTACTGAGGAGCCAGCTGGAAACATGGCATGGACGACACTTGCAGAACTTTTCCAGACAGAGTCTGCTCCACCAGAGGGTATGCCTTCCTCTGCAGCTCAGACAAACCTGCCACCAGGACCGACAGGGTGGCACACGCATGGCCCAGAGCTGGAAGGGGAGGATGGACAGGGAGGGGTGATGAGAGAGGGGGCTGCAGAATAATTACAGGAGGAAAGAGGGAGGGTGAAAGAGGCAGAAGAGCAAGAGAGATATTAGAATTATGTATGCATTAGTGGGGGCGTGCATGTGTGCACGTGGAGATACTCACTGATGACTTTTACAGGGGCCAGAGGAGTTTTTTCCTTGGAGAGGTAGCAAGTGGTCACACATTCGATCAGTGGCGCTAAGAGCAGCAGAGGTAGGATACTGATCACATTCATGGCGCCGATGGGCAACAGGAGGTTGGTGAGGTGAAGGTTTGAGTTCATCGTCTGTATGTAGTAACCTGAGGGAATCTGTAGAAAACATTCTTAGCCTCCCTTCATGTGATAAAACATGGACATGATCCCTTTTCATGCTTTATAATAAAGACCCATAATATTCCCAGTGACCTGCCTGTGTGATGCAGGCTCTGTAAAGCAGCTGAAGGCCATAAAGAGGGAAGAGCTTGGCCAGGACTTTGACGTTTTCGACATGCGTTTCGCTGTAACGCCCGCCATTGTTCTCTTTGGCCCGGTCCAGCCAAGATCCCACATCTCCACTCAGGTGACGATAGTGGAGGCAGCACATCTTGAGAGAGTTCAAGAAAACTCCCAGTGTGGTCAACAGTGATCCACCTGCGGTGTGAAAGACACACAAAGGAACAGAATGAAGTGTGTGTGGCACTGTATGTAGTGTGCCTGTATACCAGTTTGTATGTCTCTCTTTTTCATGTACGTTACCTTTATTTGGTTTATAGGTGAGTTTGTTCCGCATCATGTGTATGGCGATTAGAGCCAGCAGCACAGAAGTGAAGGGGATAAGGAAGCCCAGATTTTTGCCCACAGACTGCTGGATGTAAGCGATACCCAGAAACACGACAGTGGAATTCAGGTTGACCAGCCAGTAGAACCTAAACATAAATAAAGCAAATATCACACTCGTTTCCCTCATGAACATATAGTTTGCAGATGTCACCAAATAACACATGAGTAGATGGAAACATTATTTCCATAAGTAGACACATTATTTTTTAGCCATGCTAGTGGCTAGGGATGGTCATGATTGTATGAATTGCCGTGAAACAATCCAGGCATTCATGATCCCCAGAAGAGGAACCTGCACTGACTTTGCTGATTCTTTGACTTTACCTCTAGTGCCACCATGATGTTGCATTTTTGTTTTTTAATGATATATCTTGACAACTGTTGAGTGGGTTCTCAAGAAATTTGGTACAAACATTAATGATCCCCTAACGATGAATTGCATGATCCACGGACTCTTCGTCTAGCACCATCATTAGGTAATTTTTATGTCAAATTACTATCAAATTAACTCAACAATCACCCAAGCGCCAACTAGAGTTCTTGCTTGCTGTCCATAATCAACCAAGAACTTGCAAGGTGTGCTTGTTTCTTGTCTCCATGCAGAATAACTGAACTGTAAAGAACCTCATGTGATGATGAAACGGATCATAGGGACAATATCAATGGATTATTTGGAGTCTGATCATTGACTAACCAAGTGAATGCCTGTATTCAGACGGCAACACCACTCACCAGTTGAAGAAGGACAGGAGCTGGTGCTGATTGTAGCACTGCAGGCTGTAGGCTCCCATGGGACAGAGGATGGCCCGGATGCCGCCGATGCCCAGTGCAGCAGCCAGGAGGCCGGTGTAGAACAAGATTTGCTGCTCCCGATGTTCCAGCTGGTGCGTCATGTGATGAGTGTCAATGTAGAAATCTTCAAACGGGAATGCCACCACGGGCAGCATGGCTGTGCCTAGAAAGCAGAAGTGACAGGTGAAGGTCATGGTATGTGGTTGCAGCTATAGATTTCAAGCAGGAGTGTGAATTCACCGAAGCAGATCCATGACTAAGCACCTTATTAGAATTACTAACGCTCGTGAAATGAGCTCACACGAAAGGTTGAGATGTGTCACATATTTGTGCAACTGTCTGGTTCATGTCACAGATAATATTTTGTCTTTTACACTGGCAGAGTTGAGCCTCATTACATAATACATCTAATCATATAACAGAAATAAACTATAGTTTTAGCACAAATTGAATCACACCAGACAACATGAATTAACTATTAACTGTGTCTTACCGAAGAAATGAAGGAAAGCACACAAATAGAGCACCTTGCTCCTTCCCAGGCAGGTCTCTGCAAACCACCCAACCAGAACAGGGGTCAGGGTGCTGGCTCCTATGAAGCACAGGTTGACTGTCGCAGCCAGGTAGTTATCATAGCCCAGCTTCACGGTGCAGAAGAGAATCGTGTTGCATACAATGCCAAAGAAAGTGAATCTCTCGCACAGCTCCACAAGCAGTACACAGATGATAACTTGAAGCTTCTTGCGGGACTTCCTTCGTGGTCCAGAGTCTGGAAGAGGGGTCTGAGAGAGTGGACGCAGTCGGCCTCTGCGCTCTGGCAGTCTCTGAGGGTCTCCTGTCACCATACCACCTGGCCAGTGAGCTGGCTGCTGGGCTGCTTGGTTGGCTGGATACAGTCAGTAAAGGACCATGTAGAGCTCTGAATGAGAACCCTTCGAGGAGAGGACCAGCAGAGGCCAGAGCTGGAATCCCTCACCCTGGTGTGACTCTGGAGAGACATTGGATCAGACACACGTTGGATCAGAAGGCTGATTATCCTTCTGTGTCATGATCTTACTCAGAACTGTGGACACCTCACAGGGAAGTGACACGTTATAGAAAATTGTATCCAGGAGTAGTGATGGATGGGAGCGATATGGAGAGCGCCCTAGAAATATTTCTATGATTACTGACAAGATACAGACATGTGGTTGTTGTTCTTTTTTCATTAATGACTTATTCAGAGCAGTGGTGGAGAGTAGCTAAGTACACAAGTACTGAACTTAAGTACAAATATTCAGGTACTTGAGTATTTCCATATTATGTTACTTTTTACTTCTGCTCCATTATATTTCAGAGGTAAATATTTTAGGTATATTTTTACTTCACTTAATTTATTTGATAACTTTAGTTACTGGTAACTTTGCAGATTCAGATTATTAATACAAATGTAATCAACAATTAAATCATGAGAGGCATAGTTAAAATTCACCCCGCACCCCAATGCATCAATAATCCTAACTCATTAACATAAAATACATACATATACATAATATCTGAAATATATGTAATGCATAATCCGTACTTTTACTTTTGATACGTCTTTAGACTTAAACTTCTTCGACCACTGCTACATAGTTACTATAGCTGCTGCTGGCAAACTTTAATCAAACTAAATAATTGTTTGCAATGAACAAAGTTGCAGGTTAAATGATTATCAACAACTCAGAGACACTGCACGATGTTGTCTATGTAGTAGGTATTAGCATTAAGAGACAATAAACAAGACAGCAAACACATTTTGTGCTGCAAGTAATTACAAACACTCACAAAATGCCACATGTCTTTGTGAAAGCAGTCCTTCAGTGTGCCAGCTCAAATTAGAACACCAGCTGATAAACTGATAATGTTGAGTGGGAGTGAGACAGAGTGCACCGGCAGGTCAACTTAAACTGGATCAGAGCTGCTAGTCAAAGAGTAACTGCCTGTTATTACAGGGAGTGAACTCATTGTCTGAAGCACAACAAAAAAAGCACAGCTCAGTCAAGGACTGAACAGCATTTCACTCAGAAACTATCACCAAAATAAGATCAAATAAATCCTTTTAGCAAATCTGAATAATATAGTACAACCTCTGTATAAAGTAAGCTTTCTTATCTTCTCAGTGTCCTAAAGTGTTCTTTCATGAAGAGACATGAGCTGCAGTTAAATTCGCATCTTACAAGCTATGACAAGAGGAATCAGAGGCCTTGCTTATGAATTGTAACAAGACTGTTTTCTGAAGGCTTGAATATTCTTTTCAGGTGTTAAAACGTGTATATTTGATTAGAAATCGAATTAAAGAATTCATAATTGGAGGTCAAATTGAGGAAACAATGTAAAGCTTTATTGTAATTGTCTCTAACAGCAATATTGCATCTGCACCTCCAATCAGGCATCATTCAGATAAATAAAAATGTACAATTTCAAATGACCAATTATACAATCAGAATAAAAGAGGGTAAATAATGAGATATATTGCAAGAGCATAAAAATTGCATTTAGCCCCTTTATATTATTCCTTTTTTTGACATGATGCCATTGTTACAAAACAATGCCATACTGCTTTGAATACATGATTTTACAAAATGTATTTATTATTATTATTTTTAATATAGATAAAGATATATCTACGTAAAAACCTGACATGTTGAAGAGACATAGTGTAGTGTTTAAGCGTCACGCGTCACCATGGTTACAGAGGCTGCGTGCAGCTGAGCATTGTGGCGCGGTGTATCATGGGAAAAGAGCTGTTTGCAAATCAGTTCCAGCGTTGGTGAAAAAGACGAACACAACAACGAGACTTTTCTTCAAATATACGCAAAACGGTGGGTTACGAAATGTTCCCAGTTCGTTCAGATATAGCAGGAGACATAGCACACATGCACTGTGGAGTTAGCTTGCGTAGTACTTAGTATTAAACCTTCGCAGCACGTTAGATAATATTCAAGCTAAGTTTGCTAACCTACGCTAGCTGTTAGTTTCCTTTGAGTGCTAATGTTAGCCTCCATTTTGCTAACCGTTTAAACGAGCTGTTTAAATGGGCATCGGCTAGCAATAGCGTTAGTAATGTTAGTTATGTTTGTGTTACTGAAACGTTGCATATGTTTGTTTGACATTAGATAACAGACACAACTCACACATAACTTATGTAAAACATTCTCATGTGTTGTTCTCAGGCTAGCAATGTCTGGAGGAAGGATGCCGAGCTGTCCTGCCTCTGTTACCAATGGCTTCAGCTCGACCCCTGTCAAAACAGCCCAGGGGAAAGAATTCAACACACCGAAGGGCTTTGACGACTGCGTCCCATCCGACGAGGAAGACACCTTCTCTCTGCTTTCTCCCATCTATCACGACAGTTTTGACAGTGATGAAGAGCTGGAGCCCAGCCCATCTCAGCAGACTTCACCCAGACAGAGCCACACCTCCAGACTCAGCGTTTCACCAGTCAGGTGCTGCGGACTTCTTCAAGCTTGAGATACTTCACGAAGCGTGTTAAAGGCCAAAGGCTGCATGATTCAGGCAGATAAAATGTAAGTACAGTAGGATATGTATTCATTTTACACCTGTTTTTCTTTTAGATGTGAGCTACCAAGAACACCTTCAGTGCAGATGTTGAATGCTGTTAAGCCAGCAGCTGCACCTTCTCTCAGTGCATGGGAAATGTGGCTGGTGAACAAAGCCAAAGAAGATCGTTTCAAATTGGAAAAACAAGCAGAGGAGGCAAGCCACAGTTAATTATCATTTATATCACTGTATAACTGAATCAGTTACTTTCCTTACGTCCCTTTGCTTTTTGTATGTTTTATGGTTTCCATACGGCTAGCCATAGTTTTTTCCTTTTCATCAAATATAATATATATATACAGTGGGTACAGAAAGTATTCAGACCCCTTTACATTTTTCACTCGTCTCATTGCAGCCATTTGCTAAAATCAAAAAAGTTCATTTTATTTCTCATTAATGTACACTCAGCACCCCATCTTGACAGAAAAAAACAGAAATGTAGAAATTTTTGCAAATTTATTAAAAAAGAAAAACTGAATGTGTATATGTGTGTATATATATATGTGTATGTGTGTATATATATATGTGTATGTGTGTATGTGTATATGTGTATATATATATGTGTATATGTGTATATATATATGTATATATGTGTATATGTGTATATATATATGTGTATGTATATATGTGTATATGTGTATATATATATGTGTATATATATATGTGTATATGTGTATATATATATGTGTAT